ATCTTCCTATTTGAGCTAAAACAGAAAGGTTGTTAGTTTGGATTCTGCATTGATTGATTCATCGAGCAAAGAGGCAGACTACTGTCTGGTTCCATCTTCTCTCTGCAGAATGTGTTGCTTTTCTTTAAATCACTTGAATTTAAAAATCTGATCAGATAATTAGAGCTCTGATAAAACCAGCAAACTAACAAATCTGAGAAATGATGCAGATTTTGTTATTTATGGACTACAGAGTTCATTTCCCTTTATGTAACTGTAAACAATACATGAAACAAAACGCTGAATTGGAGAGATAATGGTATATGTCATCAGTATAGTAAGGAGATGACAGTTAACCTCACCTATATCGGAGAGGAATTGAATAGAGGGCGTGTAGACCTGGTTATAGATACCTGAACGTCAGTAGTCTTTGACTCAGATCTCCGTGGACAACCATAAACTCACTAAAGCCCCTGAGCATCTGGCTCTTGTCTGCAATGGGAATGGATTCATTCATCTTTGACTCCATAGTGAAATGACTCTGCAGTAGACACGTCAGTGAGGGAAAGGAGAAACTAGGGTGGCAAGACAACGAGGTGAAAGAGCTTTCTGGTTTGCTCGTGATGTTGAACATGATGCACCGGTAAAGGCAAATTCCTCTACTGGGAATGAGAGGAGTCAGTCGCAAATGTGCTCCCATTATGTGTTTTCCCTGTTACTGAATATATTTTAAATGATCCTTTTGACGTTAGTATTAATTCCTCTATTTCAGTGATGGGCGAGCACCACCACTATATTCTGGAAGTGCTCTGCTTCAGTCTGAAAAAACAGCCAAAGCTTAAAGTTACATTATTAAGAATACTATAAATCCCTCAGTCTCTAACAACACACACCAGTCACTGTGGCTGCACGTTTTAATTAGTCTTTGTCACCATCAGTACTGAGGACAAGCACCGGAGCACCAGCTGCTGTCCATGGTACTGATCTTCTGTACTGTTTCTCAGATTGGCCTCCGTCATGTCGGTGTGGCTGTGTGTATCTGAAAGTGACATCAATCAGACGGCAGCCCGACCTCTGTGTAGTGTAGCTTCAGAAGCATTTTTGTCTAATTCAGTGTCATCAATGTAATGAATCTGAAAAAAGGTCATATCCCTAATTGAAACTAATCATATTTACCTTTAAACACTTGAACTGAAGGATCCAACACAGTGCCAGCGAACACCTTTGTCTAAACACCAACGACAGCCACACGGATCCATCATCCCCCTGGTATAGAATGTTTGGGGTGTAGTCATCAGTATGTGTCCATCGGCAATATTTTATTTAAGCAAGAAGAATTCATAAACCATTTGGAATCTTTTCAAGAAACTTCACAATTGTGTTATTCAGAAGGTGAAGTATATTTATATACTAAACAAGAGGACTCGTCCCAAACCACTCACTCTGTTTGCCTCTGTTCACAGATTCAGCTGATGACCTGAGTCTGGACGTTTGGAGTCGTCATCCCGTCGCCCCGTGCAGCTCACAGCTTTGTTTTCACTATGGGCTGAGGTAGTAGGTTGTATAGTTTTAGGGTCACACCCGCACTGGGAGATAACTATTCAACCTACTGTCTTTCTCAAAGTGACAAACCCACATCTCAGTCCTCACTGCATGGATTCTGACTCCTGGTTCCCAGACAGCAGAACTTCCTGTGGTTCAGCTCAGCAGTGATAGCTCCAGTCGCTCACACAGTGTGAGGTAGTAGATTGTATAGTTGTAGGGTAGTGATTTTGCCCTGTTTGGAGATAACTATACAATCTATTGCCTTCCCTGAGGAGTGACATCTCTCCTGGTATGAAATGTGTAGCCTGGTTAGCTAATCAACTATTTGAATTTGTGATTTCTTTCACATAACCTTCAGAGCCATTTGTACTGTAAAGTATATCCGTAAACTAGATTCATTTTTAAATGTGTTAATGTTTCATTTTCACATTTACTCTTATAGATTGTGTTAAATATATGGGATTTGCAGTCATATGAATGTATTTCTGAAAATGTTTTTTCATTAAACTCAATTTAATTTGTAAATCAAAAATCCAAATCATTACATACATTATCTCAGACACTTTTCATAGTAAGGTCTAGATCTTACAAAATTATAGAGAAACCCAACAGTTCCCACAATGAGCAAACACTTAGTTGAGAGAAACAAAGTCATTAACAGGAAGAAACTAGCAGGACCAGACTGGATGTCTGCCTCGACCGCTTCAGATAAACGTGAACTTAAACCTTCTGTTTTGTCTGCAGCTTTATAATAAAACAAGATACAATATGAAACACTGTTGTGGGCTGATTGATACTGAATCACGAGTGTCCAGGAATATTGATACTGTTCAAATTCTTCAAGTAAAAGTAATACCACCATGTTAAAATAGTCTATTTTAAGTTCTGCACTGTACAGTTATCAGTTTATTGTGTATGTATAGTTTAATGTATTAATCGTGATGGAAATGGGGAGCTCCCTCTCTACAGTGTAACCTGGGGTTTTCATGGTAGCTCATTTACTAAACACAGATATGTCGGTGTTGCCTTCAAGCAAACAGAATAGTGAGTCCAGAAAACAGGAAATATGTTTCATGAATAAAGTAATCAATTAGAATGGGACTCTGTAGAGAACATGAATCTGCCACGGTCCAACGGCATCTTTCATTCATTCATGCTTCACCAAAGTAAAACTCAGATTTTAGTCCTGAGATATTAAGATCCATGAATTGTTTCCAGGGAAATCAGTGAACATGTCTTAAAATGCCCAATCTCTTAATGATAAGAAATTTGGAAAGATAAATTCCTGGATCCACTCTCTTTGTCCTGATTAACGAGTTCAGTCTTGTCCCATGTCATTTCCGTCCAATATGTGTCATGGAAATTCGTTCTGTAGTTTTTGCGTAACCCTGTCTACAAACAAACCAATGAAAAGGAGTGAAAATGTTATTAGAGGTAACTAGAGTTTACTTTGGTTCAAATTGAGCTTTTCTCAAAGGAAATCTCTTTTTTTTTTACCATGATCACTACAATAGAGTCTGTGGTGTGGAAGAAATAAGCAGCCCAGCACTTTAAATTGATATTGAATAATTTTTTAAGTGTAATTTATCTCAATCTACAAAGTACAAAGACAAAAAGGTTATTTGTACGGCCCATATTCACAGGCCTCATAGGTCCCAGGACTGTCGCTGTGTAGCAGAGCACATCGACAACACAACAGTATTTACAACATTCATGAGGAAAGACTCTGTCTCATATAAATGAAGAGGTGCGTCAATGTTTTCAGTATTTACACAAAAAGAAAAAGTCTGACAAAGAAGAAGCAGGAATGACAATTGTTTTATAGAGATATTGCCAATAACAGAAATATATAAGAGAAGACATATTGAAAATCTGAGGATCTAGTTATAATAATCTGTAATCCATGATCCATGTGTGAAGATAACTTCACCCACTTCATGTAAACCTGTTTGTCACTGCTGGTTACCATGTGAACTAAGTGGTGGACTGTCCCGGAGCGTCACATTCACTGTCAGCTGCTTTTTTAATCAGGGTTTGGCATCAGACATGATCCTCTGTTATGTATTGTTCCTGTGGCCCAGAGTCAAAACACCATCATAATTCTATTTGACTGTAATCATATCCAACGACTGCTTATTATACTATCCATGCAAACGGGAGCTGCTTGGTTCCTGGGTCTCTGTACAAATATGGTGAGAGAGATTGTTTTTGGACTCTGTTCTTCTGCACTTGATGATAGTAGTTCCACAGAAGTGACAGCAGATGGTGATATAGTCCTTTGACAACTTATCTTGTCCTACGCAGGAGACTCCAGTGGAGTCTGTGAATCACTGCTGAGTTATTAGTCAGAAATTATGAGGAAGTAATGGATCACAACTGGAAGTGTAGTGTTCTTCAGAATATATCTGCACTGCTGTTCACTTAGCACACCTTGAAACAGACAGATTGGCTTAGATTCAGGTTATGCTCTTTTTAACGTCTAGATTATTCTGGTGTTCTGCTTCTAATGTTTGTCTTTTGTGAGAAAAAAAACTATTGTGCATTAAATCTGAAGCTGGTAATGTTGGGCAGACAGCCTCACACCAGCCTCCATGGGATTGTGAATTTAAACATTGAACAACTCTGATTGTTCACATATTACAAAAATGTGCTGTCTGCATTCAAAAGCATGTGTTTCAATGAAAAGACAAGTTTCAGTTGTGAAAGTAAACACTTGTTTCAGTGCAGAACAGCCCCATGAGTTTTATTAAATGAATGACTAGATTAGATTTGTTTTTTATTGACACATCACCATGTGAGAAGCCTTTTCCTGTTGCAGATCCTTCAGACAGGGCTCGTTTGAACTACTTAACACAGGTCTGCTCTGTGCGGACCTACATGTTACATTATAAGATAATGGTATGTTTAGATTTGTGAAATGATTTTTTTTAACATAAGTGTAGTGAGGTACATATTTGTGTAAGCAATACTCAATGGTACTCACAGTACTTTGCAGTTTCCCACCTGCAGTGTTTTGGGATGAAGATGAAGTGTGTGTGTGTGTTCCAGGTATAAATCTTGTTACACAGTTGTATAATGGGAACTTTTCTTCTCTTAGTTTATTCTATCTTATCTTATCTTATCTCATCCTATCATATCTCTTATGGGGACAAAAAGCAAGTTTCCATCATCTGAATCATTAGATTTAAAGACATGTTTTAAAGTTAGACTCAGGTTATGGTTCATTTAAGAGTTAGAGTTAGGCAAGTAGTAACTATTGTTAAAGTTAGACTCCAGGGATGAATGTAGTGTCCTCTGAAGACATAGAGACACGACTGTGGGTGTGTGTGTGTGTGTGTGTGTGTGTGTGTGTGTGTGTGTGTGTGTGTGTGTGTGAGTGTGTGTGTGGTCAGTGGGAGGGGCGCTCACTGGTGTAAAATGGATAAAACGTGGTGAATGAGAGCTGCTGTGTCAGTGGCTGCAGTGGTGAAGCGGGTGATCCAGTGTCCCCGGGTAGGACTTAAACCCAGTGTCCGTGTGAGCTGCCATGACCTGGCGGCTTTAACTGCTCAGCTGTGCCCAGGCAGGTGTGCAGCTCAGTGCGTGTGTGTGTCAGTGTGTGTGTGTGTGTGTGTGTGTGTGTCAGGACAGATGAGCTGAGCGTGTACCTGCAGGCTGCAGCCACAGCTCGAGCAGCAGAACACGCCCTGTCAGAGGAGAAGGTGGACGCACGCACTTTACCTGCAGAGAACAAGCGCAGCCCCGATGCTCCGCCGCGGGCCCGCAGCTCCACCGGACACCAACCCGATGAGACCAGGACTTTCCCCCCACGCACGTCTTCTCGTCCCCGGGAGCGTTTTAACCCGCGCCTGCTGCTCGGATCACCTGGAGGTCCTGCGGGACTCCGCACAGAAATAAGGCGGCTTCCTGCAGCGGTTCACTGCGTCGATCCGGCGCCTGGTCCCGGGCACCATGAGCAGGAAGACGCGGCGCTTGATCCTACATTTTTTCCTGTGCCTCGGAGTAGTGTACCTGAAGATCGGGTGAGTTACTGGGTGTTCCACACACACACACACACACACACACACACACACACACACACACACACACACACACACACACAGGAGTTTATAGAAGCAGAGTTTAAGATGTCACCAGTGCGCATGCAGATGTTCCCTCACATGTCCCCACACCTGGAGGAGCTCCACCTGCCACATGTTAACCTGTCGCCTTCCCCGCCCGCAGGGGTCTGTCCTCGGTGGTGGCGCTGGGAGCGAGCATCATCTGTAATAAAATCCCGGGCCTGGCCCCTCGTCAGCGGACTATCTGTCAGAGCCGGCCCGACGCCATCATCGTGATCGGAGAGGGGGTTCAGATGGGCATCAACGAGTGTCAGTTCCAGTTCAGACACGGACGCTGGAACTGCTCGGCCCTGGGAGAGAGGACCGTGTTCGGCAGAGAGCTCAGAGTGGGTATGTTATTCATCATCCACCCAGTTCACTGACTCTTTGTGCAACAAACTTTCTGAAATGGGGACATTATTCTATGGGATTCTGTGATACTGAGTTTTAAGTAGTTGTATTGCATCTGATCTTGTACTAATATTTCTTTGAGGTATTATAATAATAAGAAGAAAAATAACTTTATTTATTGAGCACTGTTTTCAACACACAGTAAAGTGCTGATCAACGAAAAACCCAAATGGTTAAAATAATGAAGTACATAAATAATAATAATAATAATAATAATAATATATATTAAATACATTCAAAGTGTAGTTCAATATCTTTGTCAGCAAAGTGCCGTTATCTTTCTAGTTTTTTAAAAAAGTATTTAAGCTGCTTCCTTTTTAAATTGCTGCACAATGTTACAATAGCAGATTCATAATTGTGGGTTTGCACGAACACTGCAAACAGAACATGCTTTTATTTATTTGTTGATATTGTAGGTGGTCTGTTTAATACAGTTTGAAGCATCTGCACTTGAGTCTAAAAGTGCACAAAAAAACCCCAAACGGTTAAATTGCTACGAACTGTCCCCAAGTTAGTGGACCTCCCCCATGTCAGGAAGCTCTCAGACTCTCAGTGCTTCTGCTCTCGGTGGGAAAACAAGCCCCAGATCTGATCCTGGATGTGGAATAAGGCTCGAGGCCATGCTCGCTCCCAAAGACTCGACAGTGGAAATAAGTGGAGTGTCATATTTAAACACGCTGGTTCTCCACTGTCTTGTCCTGTAAGTTCACCCTGTCATCTCGCAGACACACATGCAGAGCCCGGGAGTCGTTTTTCACTCAAAGTGTCATCATGGGATTAAGGCTCACATCACGTTTAAGCCTTTAATTTATGCCGATGCTGCTTTGCCCATTGATATTTTATTGTATGATCTGCAGGTATGGAGGTATTATCAGAAACAACAGAAACAAATGTTGCGTGCAGAAAATGTTTCCACTCGTAAAAGCGGCAAGATGAGTAGTTTGATGTGTAGATGATGTGTAACTGCTTCAGGTGACCTCTGCTCTGATTGGATAAGATGAAACCTTATGTCTGATCATCTCAGTGTTATATATCAGGAACACACACTGTAACATCCTGTTTCATAGCTGCTAACATGCAGACCTACATGCTCTGAGCTGAACAACCTTCACGTATGTGTTCATAGCCCCCCACCCCCCTTCCTAAAGCTTCAAGTTCAGACAAGCACTCTCCTCTTGGTTTACAAATTTACCTCCAGGTCGTGCAGCTTTGGCAGGGGATGTTTAACTGAATGTTTTAGGGGAGCAACTACACTTTTTTCTCGCACATGGATTGAAACGAAACTTGGCGAGAGGAGATGATTGAAAATAATTTGAGTCCATATTCTGCTCAGATTTTCGACAAAGATCAGGTTGATTTCTAGGAGGCAGCAGGTCACCTCGCTCGCTCGCTCGCTCGCTGCTCGGCTCCAGCTGCCTCGCATCCAGCCTGTCTGAATCCATTGTTTTGTGTCAGCAGACTGGAACACTGATAACTGACAGAATACAGAAATGTGGGGCTGTTGTTGGCAGTGTTGCAGCAGTGTGCAGTATTTCTGACATTAGGATGGAGTATCCTCCCCATCCACCAGGCTGGCTGCTCACATGTGGGCACTGACTGGATGCTTCTCCACCTACTGTAGTAGTGTTTCCTGCTAATGATGTAACTGTTTTTACATTTGGTTTACAAACGTGGTGCTCAGGTAGAGATGAAGCAGTTTGATCATTTTAGTTAACATTATCATATTATTATTGTTTTTGTTAATGTCTGTTAACGAGTATGTTTGAAAAGTACTGATAAAGCTTCCTGCAACGCTGGTTTAAATAAAGCCCTGAATATGTACATCATAAAAAAACATTATTATCAAAGTATGTGCATGTTCAATTCAATCATATGTAAATAAAATAACAGCACAAAACAACTGGAGTGGAGAAGAGAAGGCACATTACGTTTAGTGCAGCTGCCGACCCTGATGTCTGAGGACATGGGAACTAGCAGTTGCTTGGTTTATACAGAGGACTAGCAGCTAATGCTGTTACAGTACCAACCAAATCACCATGGTAATCACTGCAATTAAAGATTGAACAACTAAGCATCAGGTGACTGTTTCATCCCTATGCTCAGGTGCTATGTTTGATATTCTCTCTATTATGCATTTAAATTGTACTACTCTAACATATCACATCAATTTATTGACATTTGTATGTAAATCCCAGCGTTGGCAGAAGAACCGTGACCTTAAAAGTCTAAAAAGCTTCTGTGGTGGTGTGATTGTTGAAGATGATGATTTTATTGGAGCATTTTTTGCAACTGACGGCCATTTTTGGATGGTTTCCACCCAAGCTCCAGGAATTATCTCTATTTTAATTAAAAAGGAAGAGGGGAAAAAATACTGGAGTTGACCTGAAGCAGTCAGATTTATGGAGTGGAAATCCATCTCAGTAGGGAGGCTGTGCATGCCTCTCAGATTCACCTCCACAGGGTGGATCCCAGTGATGGCAGCTGGGACAGGAGCCAGAATAAGGCCTAAACATTTAATATTTTATCTCCCAGTAAATGCTCTCAAATATTCATCTTTATCAATCGTCTGGTGCAGTTGTTTAATTATACTCCCCAAATTTACAGACTGGTCCTGACCCTGAAGGCTCTCGGATAGTAACTCATAAATATAAAACCGTAAACTCCAATAAAACAATCAAACTGTCCCACTACCTCATAAACAGCTTTTATTAGAGCTTCTCTCCTCTTTTAGACGGCTTCATTATATTTTCTGTAAGATTCGGAGCTTCCTCCTGTAGTGTCTCTGTTTGTAGAGGGAGCATGATTGATGAATGGGACTTGGCCCGGCTCGTGTATTTTTTTGATTTGGTTTGAAGCAGCTATGTCAGGTATGTGAGGAGGCTCGGGCCCAATCTGAAATACTAAAGCTCCGTTGTCTGCAATTGTGATTAAAAATGTGTGTTTCTCTTCATCGCAGGCAGTAAGGAGGCAGCGTTCACCTACGCCATTATCGCTGCCGGGGTGGCCCATGCCGTCACTGCGGCCTGCACCCAGGGCAGTTTGAGTGGGTGCGGCTGTGACAAGGAGAAGCAGGGTTTCTACAACCAGGAGGAGGGCTGGAAGTGGGGCGGCTGCTCAGCGGACGTCCACTACGGCCTGGATTTCTCCAAGGTGTTTGTGGACGCGCGGGAAATTAAGCAGAATGCCAGGACTCTCATGAATTTACATAACAATGAAGTGGGACGCAAGGTATGTTTGCAATAGTCTATTCGACTTTTACATCAGCACATTGAAATCACATCACAGTACCCCAGTCAGAAGTAACATCTACTGAAGGTCAGACAGACCAAAGTGCATGTGTGAATAAGCTGCAGGGACATTCAAACATTTTACCTGTTAACACTGGAGTGTATGACTGTGATTGTAACTAATAACATCAGTGAAGACATCATTTAAAGGATAAGGCTGGCAGAGACGGACGTTTTTCAATTTTTTCCCCAAAGCAAACAATGAATGTACTGTGCGTATCCAAAGCCTGATACATATTTATCCCCTGTGCCATAGAGCTCCATTGTTTCCAAAAACTATTAAAAACACATCAGTGAGCTGCAGTGTTTCACTGACATGTTCCATCATTACCATGAACTCACGCACTGCAGCTTATTTTGACTCAATCCCACACACACACCATCCTGCTGCAGTAAATACTCATTAGAGCACCAAATGTAGATTAATCCGCTGCTGAAAATAGTCCCCAACAAATGCTCTGTTTCCTCCTGTTCGATAGAAACTACAATGATCAGCTGTGTGAGTAAAATTACTGAGCCTTTGTTTAACTTTTGTCTGGTGGTAGGTACAAACTGCACACGCAGAATGCTCCCTGCTAGAACTATATGATAAAATGTTTAAAAGAGCAGTATAAAGTCAGGTAATATCCAGTCATCCACACTGCCTCATCTGCTGCATTACTTATTGTTTAGCATTGTAAGGACTATCCCAGCATGCACTGGGTAAGAGACAGGATGCACCCACACAGTGCCTAGGTTAACACAGGGAGACACACAGTCACATGGGCAGTCAATCAGGAGTCTCTAGGTGCATTATGTCAAACGCTGATGTTGAACAAGAGACTTTAAGACATATTTTTGAAGTTCAAATAGGGTTTCAAATAGAGTTGCAACTGAGATGCAATAACCGTATAAACAGTGATGCAGGAAGAATGTGGGACACTGTCATTAAAAATAGATTTTTGCTGGAAATGTGGTATAAATTTGGTATGTGATTGAAAACAGGGAGTAAAACTGACTGAGACTGGATGAGTTTAAACTGCACAGTAAACACATGCAGTGTTGTTTATTTACTGCTTTAGGCTTTAACTGCAATACTGACAATAAACAGGTTCAAACATATCAAAGTTGAGCAGACATAATAAAAGAAATACACATACTGATGTATAATATTATACATTTATCATTTGTTAGGTCCGATCATTTATATTGAAATGAAAATGATGCCACCCGCCAATAGATGATGTATTGCAGGTAAATGCAGGTGAAGCTATGCTTTCTTCAAACTCTGAGGCATTTATACTGTGACATGATAGTAAATGGTCTGTATTCATAGAGATCTTTTCTAGTCTTGATGACCACTCAAAGCTCTTTACAGTGCTGTTTTTGCCATCCACACATTCACACAATTTCATACAGTCCATTTATGTGCAGCACTCTCTGTCACACATCACTCACACACTGCCAGCGCAGTTTTTAGAGGCAAGCTGAGGTCCAGTAACTTGCTCAAGGTAGATATCCAAAGATATGTTGGATCTAGACCTGAGGTCTGGCTGTAGTAATTTCTCACGATTACATACTGAAGTAAATCACAATGAGTGCAAGCAGCAAGTACAGTGACATCAAGAGCCAATGAGGATGGTCAATGTAAGAGCCTGCACTCATTTAGAGAAGTCGAGTCAAGAGGTAACAGTGTGTGACGCGATGCATAGTGACGTGAACCCCGGACCAGGACCATATGAGCATACATTAGCCAGACTGTGATGTTGTTAGCAGGGGACAGAATTCAGGAGCTGAACAACAGATCAATAGAAATAGCAGGATCCTCCACAAAGTGACCGCACCAGAGAGCAGTCTGTTGGAAAAGCCACAGCAGTCACATCATAGATCAGTTTGAGTTTGAAACTTCTCTGAATTCTGAAGTTTTCCTGGAGAGTAGATCTTAGACACCGCTGCTAAATTCAGAACTGCAGCACCAGTGCAGTGCCTGAAATCTATCAGAGGAGCAGTTGAACTATTACTGAGCTTCACTTCAGTCAGGAGAGACAGAAAGATGATTAAAGACAAATTCAATGAATTGATTTGATTCTTGAGCAATTAGAAGTAATTTGTGAGGAGTCTTTGGCAACAGAATAATTTGGAGGGGTCATCATTCCAACAAAATGTGGTTTTCTTCTTAGAATTTGAATGTGAGTAATGGATGTGATGCAGGTAAGCAATGGCAGCACAGAACATTAGAAAAGTGAAGGAGCAAACATCTTGACTGCAGTGATGGAAAATCAGAAAATGCAGTACCTCTATTCTGGATGAATGAATTTAAAGATATTCTGAATTTGCCTTTTCTAAGTAATGCACAAAAGGCAGTGAAAATACAGAATCAAGTCAATGTAAGGAGACAAAATGCCATCTGTGACTACTGTCAGCATTCTTTGCAAAGTGGAAAGAATGACTGGGAATCTACAGCCAGAGGGAGAAACTTTTGAAATACCTTTCACAAGTAATTTAATGGCTGGGTTAGAAAATAAACTAGTAAAAGAAGGATCATAACATGTTATGTTAAACTGAATCCAGGAAAGTTACCCACAAATGTACTGAGGTTTGAAATGGCGAGCATCCATGCAGTAACAAATTAAGGCGCAAACAGTGTTTATGGAATCAGGTTTAAGTGGCGTACCAGCAGAAACACAAAACATTGCAAAAGAGGTTCCAAGTGAAATCTTATGATTTTATGGTGGAAGATGCGAAGCAGTTTCTTGTATATATCTTAGCTGAATCTTTGGACCTTGAATTGGGGGTCTGATTGCAGACAGAGCTTGAGGAGAACTTGTGCTGGAGCTTGGCTGAGGCTCCAGAAGGTCTGGAATTTGAAGCCAAACATGATGAGTGGACACATTATGGGCCATTACGATGAAGTTGTATGTGACTGCTGAGGATGTGAAAGGTACGATGCATGCGTGATGTTGATTCTGACGTAGAACTCCAATGTTCTTATGATGGCTCTGTATATGGCACGCTGCAGTGATCAGGTAAAACTTGCACAGTGCGGATAACAAATCGAGCTCGGAGAGAGAGAGAGTAAGGCCTCTAGTTTGCAAACAACTCACTTTGAAAACATATCCCAAGAAAAAAATCACAGATTAATGACGCATCTGTGAAGAACTTGATCGCGTCAGTGGAATGCACCATTTCCTCATCGAGGAACGTTACTACTCCAGTGATCAGAGATGAGCCCTAAAAGTGCAGGCTGAAGTTATGATGGTCAGGAAGGGAGAGCAACTGTTGTTTGGGATTTTTCATGCAGTAGGAACTCCCACACTCACATCTGTGTCGACCAGTTATTTTCTCATCAGACGGGGTCGAGTGGAATCAGGGTTTCGGTATGGATAGATATACCTGATCTGTGAGGGATCTTTTAGGAGACGGAGAGCAGATGGATTCCTGACTTTGTTTAGCAACATTTAAAAAAATCACTTTGGTTTAATATGAATGGGCTACTCCTGCAGGAGTCAGACACACCACCGAATTCAATCTGGAATCTGACCTGATGTGATTTAAGTGAGCCTGAGGAGGTGGATACAGTCCAGCATGGGGTCTGAATCACACCTCAGCTTCTGATAACTAGAAACTGAAAAAGACAATGTAAGCTGGAAAAATGGTAATTACCTCACAGACAAAATTGGATTTAACTGAAAGAGTGAGACAGGAAACAGGCAACATGAGAGAAAGTAAATACAGTGAGCACAAAGATTGGTTTTAGCCCTAACCCCCTAAACCTAACCCTTCTCAAGCATTCCTCAAAGGTTGTTTCTTCTTTAGCTGTGTCTCAATTCAGCCGACGTCAGCTGTGTCCTCCTATGGCTGTGTACATCGTGTCGGAGGAACCTAGTCATAATTTGTGTATTTCATTGCCATTCTCATTGTCTCATTCTCATTGTTGAAAAAATCTCTGCAATGAATCCCTGATAGCTCCGATCAGTAACCCTAACTCTAACAGTTTGCTAGATTGGTTTAGATTTTAAACATGAACATGTCTGCAGCTTGATTTAATCACAATCAGTTAGTTACACCTTGTCCCCAGAGGATGAACCCGACTGACATTTTTTTGGTGACATTTCTCGACGTCTGTTGGATTGGTTGCCATGAATGCATCATATCCTGCTCAGCATGAATTGCAGTTCATCTTTTATTACTTTTTTCTCTAGTGCCACCATCAGGAAATCTTTTTTTAATATAGCATAGTGTTAGCATGCTAACATGCACAATTTGAGATGATGAGTGTTGCAAACATTCTAACTACTAAAGATCAGCATGTTAGCATTTGTCATTGAGAGCGTGTTACTATATATATGCAGATGCTAGCATTTGGATGAAAGAAAACCCCCATAGAGCTGCTAGCATGGCAGAACTCTGATCTGATAATGATCAGGAAACTTGTATCCAGTATTTTCCCAATAATCTGGTACCTTTATAGATTAAATATTGAAACAGGTGAATCAGACTGCAAATTCTTGGATTTTTCCTGTCAAAATGTATCTTCATTTGTTTATCCATCTGTTTCACTACATGCATGTTATAGCATTAACCGAGCCCATCATAATTTTACTGTATATGCCGATGTAGAACCAGTAAAGCAGTAGATGAAGTGCCTTTGTGAGATCAGTTTTTTCAGAGGTGTGTTTTGTTCTTGTCACCAAAAGGGTCTTCTGTTATTTCTCCTCGTCAAACAGTGTAACATTGACTTTCAGAGGAAAATACATTCGGAGGTTTTTGCTTGTAAAATGTCGCAGTGTCACAGTAACAGCTTGTGGTCCTGTTCAGGGAGTTGTTGTTTCATCTGTGACGGCTCGTCTTCCTACTAGTGTTGGAGCTCTGTTATCAGTCACACTGTGATAAGGCGTGTGGATCTCTTAATATACACTTACTAAACTGATACCTCTGTAATTACTGTAGTGCGGCTTTCATGTTTAATTGGAGATGATGTCAGAGTGTCAACCTTTAGATTTCTTGAGAAGAATAAACAATAGTGTAGAAGGTGCTATGGAGGCTTACGGGGCTCTGTTAGACAAACAATGGCAGCTTCGTTGGCATCTCACTTCACTGAACTCTGTGAATTATATGTTTGTCAGATCTTGGGAGCATGACCACACTAAGCCATGTGCATCCAGGGCTTTTGACAATTACCCCATGAGACTCCAGAAAGTCTGAGGCCATATCAGAGTGGAATAATTAAAAAGCAGGGTGAGGCGTCTTCAATGCCAGCGAGGGTGAGGAGGAAGGAGGGTGAGCTGATGTCATTCAGCCCGAGGCGCTCAGAGAATACCCCAGCTGCTTTGCCAAACCCACCGAAAGGTTCCACTCGTACCCTGAAAAGGCCTTTCACTGCTGCCAGTGCAGTCACCATGGATGTCTGAACATGGTGACGGACCAAACTGTCACTTCACTTACAACAAGAACTCATCATCCACCCTGCTGATGTCTGAATTCATCAGCAGATATATTTTATTTTAACAATATACAAGTCGCCTGAGTTGTTTAAAGACATGTGCAACGAGGTTCTGCCTCAGAATTAGCTGCTCTTTTGCATTTTTGGAAACAAAATAATTTTCAAAACAAATGTATTTAATTCAATCTACATTTAATTTATTGGCAACATGTCTCAGGCTCACAAAGGTTATTTACTGAAACATGTAGTGGTACATTTACTTTAGCAACATAAAACACAAAACACAAAACCTTAAACTTTTGTTGGTAGTAAAATGTCCAAAAGAATTGTCCAAACCAAAGCAGCACATCTGACCTATACTCCCTAGTATGTGCCAAGCCTCAAAAACCTTCATTCCAAATTTCACTTAATGCTTGATAGCCTTTTTAATTAAACCCTCCTTGCCTGATAAATGCTTGTGTCTTTCAAGCTTCTCACCCCCAGTTTGTAACAGGCTCTCCAGTAAAGAATGTATTCTCAGAGCTCAAGCTGAGATAACCCATGCTCATGCAGGGTGCTCATAAGTTGCTTTTTGGGCATCTACAATAAATAAGGACTTTCTCATATACACTGGAAATCAGTTCATTAATCGTTAATTGTAAATCATGAGTTATGTTTTCCGATGGCCAAGCTTGTTCCAGAGAGACGTATGCATTTTCACAGACTGATTCTTACTTGCTTCAAGTAAAATGAATTAAAATCAGAGAAATTCTTTTGAGATTCTTTTTGTAATTATTCTGTTGAAAACAATGAAAGATACCCACAGACACTGCACTGAATTTAAGGTTCAGTGTGTAGAATTTAGTGACATCTAGTGGTGAAGTAGCATCTTGCAGCTGAATACCCAGCTCACCCTCCCCTTCCAAAAGAGAACCTGTGGTGAACTTCAGTTGTCATAAAATCTTTTTAACTTTTTAAAGTATTTAAATATAAACGGCCCATTCTGGGGTAAAGAAAACAACAATTGGTACAATTTAGATGAAATACACTTGTGAAAACATCACTAGGATTGCTTTATATTCAATTTCGGCCAATAGATCCCTTTCACCTAAATCGTACACACCACATACACATTGTTGAATCATTAATATGCCTTATAAATTGTGTGGTTCCTCCATGAGTCTGTTCTGAAGCTCAGTCTTGTAAAAGAATGGAACATACATAGCTACCAGCCATAGAGTGACATACTGTGGCGGCTCGGAGATCTCTGGAATGCCTACATTCATTTGGAATGTTCGAAAACTTTTGTCTCAACCTGTTGAAGTATTCATGCAATATCACTTAGTATTTCTCCAAACGCATGTGTTTCCTGTGGACAGACACCAACAAACAGTCTGTAAGATGTATGTGTGTTTGAACTTCTGAATATTTTGCCAGAAAGAGTTGATTAACATTTTACCGATAAAGTTCTTATGAGAGCGAGGTAGATAGTTTAACCCAAAAATATAAAATGACAATAAATTAAACTGTATTTTCAGTTGGTTTGAGTAGTTTTTTAACTGCATCTGTGAAATGTTCCTCTGTGTTCTATAGGTCCTGGAGAAGGGAATGCATCTGGAGTGCAAGTGTCACGGCGTGTCAGGGTCTTGCACCACCAAAACCTGCTGGACGACGCTCCCCAAGTTCCGTCAGCTTGGATACATTCTCAAGGACAAGTACAACCAGGCCGTACATGTGGAGCCGGTGCGAGCCAGCCGCAACAAGCGCCCCACCTTCCTGAAGATCAAGAAACCCCATTCCTACCGTAAGCCCCTGGACACGGAGTTGGTCTACATCGAGAGGTCACCCAACTACTGCGAGGCCGACCAGCTGACCGGCAGCATGGGGACGCAGGGTCGCCTGTGCAACAAAACGGCCCAGCAGCCCAACAGCTGCGACCTGATGTGCTGTGGCCGCGGATACAACACGCACCAGTACTCGCGAGTGTGGCAGTGCAACTGCAAGTTCCTGTGGTGCTGCTACGTCAGGTGCAACACCTGCAGTGAGAGGACAGAGGTGTATACCTGTAAATAGAGATATTTATTGGACGTGTATTCACCTGAAGCGATGCCTCTAACTTGTGTTGATGATACGGACGCCAGTGCACATCTGTCATCACACTGGACTCCACCTGTGGGCTCATACCTTTATTTCTATTTTTCATAATGCCACTTCATGCTCCAGGCTTGACGTATCACTGTTCTATTGGCACGACTCACCTCAGACTGATTGTTTGATTTACTTTTTCTTTTTTCTAGACTAATAATTTATTCAGTGAGAAAACTACTGATCATTTTTTTAATTTCTCTGTCAGCTAAATCTGGTGGGGTTTTAAGTTGGTGTAGATGTCTGGCATTTTATTTAGAAAATACTCAAGTGCACTTAAGAGCAAAAATAATTTTCATTTCTTTTTTTTGTACAAGATATTTAAACACTGGAGCTGAAACCTGAAAGAGTCAGGGCTGAACTTGACTGACAGATTTGGGAAGCTGCCGCTTGCGTGCATTAAACCAAGTAGAGGAAGATGAAACTACTGATTCTGGACTCGGTCTGATAGTATTGTTTTGCGCTTGTTTCTTTCTCTTCCCCTCCATTCTGCTGCTAGTTGTCTGGAAACTTCTGGAGTTTGTGACGAGCAGCCATATTGACTCTTCAAGCTAAGTTGACACCACCAGGAGCAAACGTCTGAGCTTCCAGACATACATTTCCCTCAATGTTGGTCGATAGAATATATTTTGTAAGAGATTATTTTTATATAAATATTGTTTTATTTATTTTCTGTCTCTGTGTAAGATATTTCCCCTTCAGCATTTCTCCACCCACTGAAACATTGTTTTAAAATGTGCCTCAGCAGAAGAATATAACGACATCACACTGAAATGTGCAGTATTGTGATAATGTAACCAGTTTCAGGAAGCATCACACTTTGCCTTACAACCTACTGAGAGCCAAAGTACCACTGTCGCCTCCATGTTCCATGATAGATTGATAAATAGATAGATAGATAGATAGATAGATAGATAGATAGATGGATAGATGTACTTTATTGATCCCAAATTGGGAAATAATTGAACATTAGTTTCTGAGTCATTGCATCTCCTCCAGTGGATTTCATGTTTTTAGAGTTTAGGCTCTCCACATTCTCAGATCAACCAGTTTCCACTTCCGCAAAAGTGCTTTCTCCCTTATCTATACCAGCACTGACCCTGTCATCTTCTAATGAGCTGCTAACTTTCAACACACAGTGGTTTCATATTGCGTTAAAGGATGATAAGAATAAAAAGAATAAATACACATATATGCATATTTAAAAATCAATTTACAACTGGCATCACAGTGTGTCTCATGACAAGATTGTATCTACATATTATTTATCCCAGATAACATTTATACCTGGTATTAAAGCCAGGGTTGGTTATCCCGGAAAAGCTAGCAAGAGCAGGCTACACTGTAAAAATGCAACGATACATTCCACCGCCTCCCATTGGTGCTCCTGTCAAAGCTACGCCCACAAACCATGTGAACGTGCACTGACTAAAAAACTGCTAGAAGACGATTTTTCAGTGACTCGCTCGCTACTGGCTAACGTCTCTGCGTCAGAAGACTCCAGTTATGTGCAGTGAGAGCTCGGGCAGGCGTGTCGGTTAGTGACAGACAGGTACACCAGCCAATCATTTTGTTCAGAGGGCCACAGAAACGCCATCAACTGATGCTATCAGGACATTTTCAGAATTTCGACGAATAAGATAAAAAGTGTTTTAAATACAACATACCAACCCTTTGTGTCTCTCCAAATTGAGATGTGACTGATTGCATTTGCTTTGACAATTGTGACATCCTTCTCTTTTATGCGCAGGTAAACAAGACATTTCATTATTGTGTTTGCTTGTTTGTGATTGGTGTTTGCTTCTTGTCCATCCACGAGTGTCATGAACGGGGGATAGGACCACTTCATGTGTTACTGGCTGCTGGCTGCCTGCTGCTACCTTGCTTGTTCGGAATAATATTTCTGCCTTTGTAGTTGCTCCATGTGGATTGACAACACATTTACATTCACACTTCTGGTCACAGTTCCCTGACCACCTCCAGAGGGGTTTTCCTTTGACTGGATCACAATCCGTCCTCAATGCATTCCAGGTGCATTTACAACTGTAATCTCATATGGTCAAATTCTAATTGGATCCCCCAGAATGCATTTCAATCCCTGGTGTAAATGGGGTATTCCATTCTTTTCCCATATACTCAGTCAGATGAAATGAAAGGCACTGGATAATAATCCAAACATGATGATAATGAGTTATAATTACTACAGGAACACAACCTGGAAGTTTGATTCTTGCTCTCTGTGAGTTAAATCAGTCCACATTTATGCAGTGATCTCAAGTTTCTAACTAACACTACTTATGGCTGGGTATCATTTCACATTTAAGTGTTGAGGCATTTAACGCCTCTTTCTAGACAGGTAAGACTAGAGAGAAGAAAACAGATCCTCATCCTGTGATAATGAATAATATAAAATAAGGTTTTGGGTCAGATCATTAAATGTCTAATGAAAAAATGAACCAGACAAGAATGTATTCCCAGCAGTTGAGACTTGACAGTTTAAGTACTTTGTATCATTGACACATTTCAGGAAGGAAGTTTGCTACTCAGCTCCTAACAATGAAATAGCCTTTAAAACAATCGGAGGTACATTAAAAGGTCTGTAGTGAGCAGTCAGGTAATAATAGATACAAGTGTAAGATGCCTTCATCTTTTCATGAGTCCTGTTGCAGAAACTATGCTGTTTATTCACAGTTCTCTTGTTTGGTCATTAATGAAAGAATTTGCTGTGAACTGTCACTCAACCCTGCATGGTTACAGCTTTGTCTTGTATGTGACTGAATTAATGAAATCATATCAAAGCTGTAGTATTCTTACATCAGAAGTTATTTTCATGTAGACCCACACTGTCTTTTCATTTGTTCTTGTTTAATAAATGTCGTCTCAGAATGAACAGAACAAGGTGGTTTTGTGTTCATTAAACATAAGTGCAGGTTTTGTCTTGTTATGAGGGCAGATCAGAGTGCAGTAGGTATAACTGAGGGCAGCGTTGCAGGTGTCGCAGTGGTGTGTGTGTGTGTTCCTCAGTGAGCGGTGGGAGTGCGGAGCTGCCGGCTGATGGATTACTCTGACATCTGCTTCATTCACTCCTGAACTACGTTGCTACAACAACCACACTGTGCCCCCCAAAAATGCTCCCCGTCTCATCAAGAGGCCAGGCTGCCCATTAACAAAATGGTAACCATGCAAAACCCAGATAAAATTTGGATGCTATTTATTTTGTGCAAATGGCAAATGAGAGGCGGGAAGTGAGGGAGGGGGGGCTTCACAATTGCAAGGGGATGATGTCAAGAAGGATTTCAGTCTGAGCAATAGAAAGGGTCTTAACTCCCGGAATAATCGGCAACAAAACATCCCGCGGCCAAACTCTGCCTCAATAGAGTGATGCTTTGAGAAGGCAGCTGGCCAAACAGCCCTGGTCAGAGCAACAGCGAGGCTCAGTCACTGAGAACTCAACATTATGGCAGAGTCCCAGGCAGCACTGGCTTCTTACACACTTCACATCTCTAATAATATGGGTTTCAAGTTATTCTGTCGATGTGAAAAACACAGACACAACTACAAGATGGAGAAAATATATGATCTAAAAAAATATATGATATAATTATTCTCTATTATCAATCAAGTGTCTAATCATCCTCTTCACTAACAAACCTGCTGCTCTACTCATGTAGAGTTAGATCCACTTTAAAGAATAACTCCTCAGTGAATGCTTTATTGGTGAAACCTGTTGTTGACTGAACAGCGTCATCTAAAAGAGATGGCCCCTGGGCCAGAGTGAGTGGGGTTTTCCGGTGTGTCCGTGAGAACGTGAACTCGCCTCTGAGGAGGATATTAAAGGACTTTTAGGCTAAAAACATGGTGTAAATGACACCATGGAGGCATGTTGTGTTTTTATTCTGTTGATTGTTTTACATCTAAAGAAGGGGTCCATTCAATTGTATTGGATTTGGCTGAAACACTGTTCACCCCTGAGACTCCAAAAATGTTTTATGGACTCAATTACTTCACCCACCCCTCCATCGACATAGTAGTGAGTATATAATGAGTGAATTTTCATTTTTTGGTGAACTATCTCTTTAATGTCCATATGATAGTGATTCGTAGTGGAGCTTATTCTGTATATTACAGTTTATGTAGAACAACATAATTTACTCTGAAATATTAAAATAAGAATTTGGCTCCTGTGATTCACTTTGAAGTTCACAACCACTGCCACTGTAGGTAATGTTGCCTTTTCAAATATCATAGTAATTGTCCTGTTACTCCCATGTACTGTCTGAATTGCATTACCCTGTTTCCTTTCCTCATTATTCGTTCATTACCCTCACGTTTAGTAAATACAAAGGTACTACCACAGTACCACAGTACAGTTACCACAGTACCAATACCTACTGGGTAAATGTGTTTTGGTTTATAATATGTTTTGGTTTTTTGTTGGGTTTAAATCATAGACTATATAAACATATACAACACGATGGCTCCCTAACAATGAAGCCAGAGGCTTTTGATTGTCCCCTTGGGGTTGGCTGTAATATATGTCATAAACCTGTCTTCCTCCATGTTAACAGATTGGACATGGATGTCAAAGTATTCGTTAAATTCACTTTTCACAAAGATGGTGTCTGTCATTTTAGAAAATTTGTGTCACACTGATCTATGGTAAGTTTGGTTATAAAAAGTGATTTGATCATAAGGAAATGGGGTGAAACGTCATGATCGACAGCTGAGGCCAAGTTGCGATTAGTCAAGCCTATGTATAGGTGGGACTTTAAGACATTAAGAATTAATTTAGATTGAAAATTGCAAAATTACATTGAATTATTGGGAGAACACTTATAAGTTATAATAAATTCATTTTTAAAAGTGCAGAACACTTGCTAACATGTGCTGATTATAACAGTCAGATACCCATGTATAGATTGTATTTCTGTATTAATAAAATGTCACAAGAAAGTCAACAAGAATTTTCCAAAGATCAAGGTAAGAAATTAAGTCTTCATTCAGTCTAACATTGTCAAATCATTTTTTGACCATTAAAAAAAATACTCAATCGACCAATTACATTTTTTCAAGTGCAACAGTGCAATAATGCACAGATGCCAAGTCTCACACTCTTAACTCTCCATTAAATTCAAAGAAAAAAAATGACTCATCCTTCAGCAGCACCTACAGCAGATCATTGAAGCACTAATGATCTGCGTCATGGTGGTTTTCCTTTAAAGACGAGTGTGTCGCTGCCAAGGTCCCTGGTGTTGACTGCCTCTGCTTGTTGTTTGGAGCTGCTGGTGCCAGCGACCGTCTGTCTGCGTGAAGTGCACCTGTGACCACCTGCACTGAGGTGGTACTCGGAGACCTATGGCTGTGCTGCTCGCTACGTGAGCCGACTGCCATCCCTGCTTCTGTTCCTCGTGCAAACTGCCACCCACACCCTCTAAGCTGCGACCCAGAGTCGGTACTTAATTTATACAACGCCTAATTCTTTAATGCCAAACATTGTGTGCAGTTATATTTCTTTCAGCATGAAGAAAAATGCTGGCTGCTTACGGCAAACAGCGCCGGAAGGCGTCATTCTTGGCTTGTGCAAGAGAGCGTCTTTGTCAGAGCGCTGATTATTTAAGACAGGAGCTGCT